TACCAGAAGACCACACTTTTCTTGGGCCATTATCTCCGTAACCGTTCAACTTTGGACATAGGTGTTTTGGGTTATATCGGCATACTTTAACATAAGGAACACCCTCCCAAAGTTTGGTCCATTCCTCCTGGGACATTCTGTATATGACAAACGCCACCCAGACTACGTAAGGTAGGACAAAATAGATTTGGCTCGGGAAAGAATTTATCATGAGACTAAGGAGTCTGGATCCTGGTTAAGTTCTTTCGAAACAATATAAGCAGCTCAGTTTAAATTGTCACAGACAAACGAATGCAACCAATATTTTATTTTCTTAATATGTACTTAAGCATCCTGCTGCATTAATATATAATTTATTTCACACATACACGTATATTCGTCTCAAATGCAACTTTTAATATAGTCACCCTCCTACCACATTACATGGTTCGGCGGTATATGGCCATCATCAGGTGTCTTCTTTCTTGCTAAATTAGTTGCAGTGTATGTCAAAATTTCGTATCGCCTGTGAAAGTGATATATCATAAGTAAAAGAAATTGACTTTAATTAAAACGAATTAACATCTCCAATATTCTTATGATCGTCGTCCTCTCTTCTCACGCCACCTTAACAGCTCTCAGCTACAACCATCAGTATTATTATCTTCCATTACAAAAGGTAAGCGCACGAAATTGAAAAATATAATCATGCATTAAGTCGAACAAATATAAACACTTAAGATGATGAAGAAAGTCGTCTTCTTGGTTTACTTAACTTACTTAAGATGATGTTAGCAACTACTCAAAAGTTTCCTCATCGTGCGCCTGCTAATCTGAAAACCAGATCGCTGCTTGAAATCAGCGATTTTCTCAGAAATTCAGGTTGCGTTGCGATTACCGGTTTCCTTGGTGTGCCCTCACCAATAGGAAAAAAACCGTTACATGTGAAGGAACACATGGATTCCGAGAAAAGGCATCCATGAAGAACAGAATCAACAACCATCCAGCTCACTCTGTTTCTTATAAACCTTGCCTAGGATGGTAAAATCCCAAGAAATATTTAAACTGTCATGTCTTTGCCACATCACAATCAGGGTAGAAGCTTATAATTATCAGAGACGTCTTATACAGTGCCATAACTGCCAAAATTTCAGCCACTTTTGAGTAAACTGCAGGAAACTTCCCCGTTGTTTGAGTTTTGGGGCGATCACATGCACAAGGAGTGTCCCGAGAAAGAAAACACATCTTCCAAACCAGCATGCTGCAACTGTCGGTTGGCGAAATGAGAGAAAGCCCATCCCGCCAAATATCGGGGTTGCAGATACGCAAAGGAGGAGATACAAAAAAAGGAAATCACAGAGAACAGCCAAGAATATACGTGAAGAGTGTTCTCCTCAAAACCTCGCCACCCCAGGTTTGTACTTCCCGGCGGCGCTCCGAGACAGCACAGAGTAAAAGCAGCAGCCCCAGCACACCAGGTGACAGTGGCCAAAGTGGAACCGAGGGTCTTCGCGCATTTTCAACAACATGAACAGCAGTTAGTTAGTTATTTAGAGAGGGTGGGTTTCCCCATGCACCGCGACCAGTTTGATCTATTGTGCTTCCCTCTATGATATTCTACCAGTTTCTTTACCCTACCGATAAATGGTGCGTACCATCAGTCCCGCCGAGCAAGCGAGTTCGGCCACTTGCTTAGCAGTGTCTATAATGCTTCCCCCATCTATCACGGGCCTTAGAGGCTATAGTTTGGCGGGAAACGTCCTGGAATTTTGGCTCAGTGATCCCTTTTGGGGATATCTGCTTCTTTTACGTGCCGTAAAGTAATGACACGGGACACACAGCTTAAAGTCCCTCTCGGAGGACTTGTTCCCTGAATTTTTCGGCCCTTAAAAATTCGACGACCTCCGCCGGGTATTTGAACCCGCGTACTACGAGTCATGAGGTGGGAACGTTACCTCTAGACTACGGAGGCCGCTTAACATGAACAGTAAGTAACAGGGCAGTCGGTTGAGGCTCCAAATGTACTATAAGACTTTCTATTGTTGCTGTGCCAGAATAGGAGAAAATAGTGACAATTAAAAATTGTGTTAAATCTCATGGAGCAAGCAAAATAACCACTAGAATTATGGGCGGAATCTACTAAAGACGAGATATAATCTTCTGTAATGAACCTGTACTCACAGAGGTCTTGTGCATATTGTAAATACAGTCATGTCATCATATATAAAATGTAAATATATAGTACGCTGTACGTTGTAAAAGGCAGACCCATCCTCTCGACAGAGATTGCGCCCCACATCAGGAAACATGCAACTGTCAGACAAAAAGATGTGGTATTAAGTCCCAAATGGGTGCTGACACAAAGAGAAACTAGCCGACTTACCGTCAGCCGCAACTAAATTTTTACTTTGATTTTCAATTTTGTTCTGTTCGCGAATTGGTTCTCTGTTGTGTCTACTACAAAGGGGTTTGTACTGAAATTGCAGAAACTGAATTATCTTCACAATAAATCAGCTACGTGACGCTTTAACCGTATTTATTAACTGGCAAGAAAGGTGTGTTGGACAGAGTAATTTTTATAGACTTCACATTATTTAGTGTGTTCACGGCCAAAACCCAGTTTGTCGTAGTTGGTAACGACGAAGCTTGCCACCCGACCAAATGTGTGCACAGCGTTGTGCGGAAAAAAAGCAACAAACAAACAGTGAACTTGAATGTAAACCAAAATGGTGGACATCCCAATACCAGGATTCCGGGAACACTGGACACGGACGCTTGCATCCCTCAATTCTGTGTTAAGCGATCATGAACAAATTCCTAGAAGTAGGCTTGTAGTACAAGTACATAAAGCACTGAACGAAATTACAATTCTTGCTGGGTGCACACCGGCTAAAGTGGGGGAAAGCTCTGAGTGGACCGCTATTTTGAATAGTGCAGAGGAGTACAGAACAAATTTTGCAACGGTCTTGATAGGAAGCCGCATTTTATATTACACTGAGATATTTTAAATGTTTGAAAAAAAAAGGTTATATTCCGCCCTGTCAATGCAAGAGGAACCTCAGGTGGCCTAAGTCTATGAGAAAGTTAGAAAGCCTCTGTTATATCTTCATTTATTTTTATGTGCGAGCACTCACACGACGTTTCAATAGCACTGAGATTTCGCTGCAGCTTTCTGAGAACATAACACAAGGTTTTTGGGGCGTATCAATTAAATATAGACTGTACAGTGTATGGGGACAGGACGGAACTTTGTGGCGCCCCTGCTTTTATATCCCTTTGCGGAGATATTTCACCTTTGACTGAAACTGAATTTTCTCTGAGAAAAATATGAGCTTGTAAACTTTAGTTTGATATTATGAAGTCAAGGTGTCATGCTGTATCAAAAGATTTTCAGTATCCAAGAATACATCAGCTGTAGACATGTCATTGTAGAAATTTTGTTAAAGTGATTTAGCCTCATACATTGACGTGTCATGCTGTGGCGGACACAGAAACCGAATTGTCTTGCATTAAGTAGGACCCTTTGTTTAATTTGACTTTGGACTATTCTCAGAATAACTTCCTAGAATAGCTTGCCTGTTGTAGGAAAGAGGCTAATCGGACATAAATTTTGAGGGAATTTTGAGTCTTTACCGGCTTTGCGGCAACGTTGCAAAATACAACTTTCCAATGCAGGAATTCTAGAGCCTCTAGCGGCAGAACCAGTAACTCAAAGTCACGGACACCTCCGAAAGTTTCTTACTGTCTTTTGCTTGGTAGATGGCACCTCGTATGGATGAGGTCCGTATTAATTATTTAGGCTGGATGGGCATAGCATAGGCCTCAATTGTATTTACATTCTTTCTTTTCTTCTTGAAAAAAAAAAAATATATTCATGGATAACTTATGTGCACCCAAGAAAGAAACGAGATATTTATTGTACGATTTGAGATTCAAACAAAGGCGGTTATGAAGAGGTCTGTCTTCTGGGATATAGCACTGT